TCTGTGCATCAGAGAACTTGTGTTAAGACATCACTGGATCATACCTAGCTCTTGTTTCAAGGTAAAATGGGTGACCCGGGGATGGGGCAGGAAGGATGATGGACAGTTACTGCAGGGGTGACACGGGGATGGGGCAGGAAGGATGATGGACAGTTACTGCAGGGGTGACACGGGGATGGGGCAGGAAGGATGATGGACAGTTACTGCAGCTGTTTGAGGTGCAGGAGGGTTCATTACTCTCTCTGCTTAGTCACGTATGTTCAGAGCCCTTGGTGAAAAGACACATCTTGAGCATACCTTAGGCAATATTGTTTATACTGCAATCTTCACCTTTCTGTACTCCCTACCCAGGCACAACACATGGTGGATGGCAGATGTACCCCTAATCTTTGCCTCAAGTCCTCAAGTCACCCTCCTAAGAAGAGATGGCTTTGCCTGTCACTGATACAGAACATGAAGTCACGGTTTCCAAAGCTTTGCTCTTGCAGATGTAACAAAAGAAACCTTGTTTTCATTTTGTAAAACAGATTTTTACATCTTCTTATGAAACAGATTTTAAAAGGGGGGGCTAAAAACACGTCGTTATCATGACAGTGGTTGAAGGGGAGGAGTAGGCTCTTATCTTCAAATAGATAACTCATAAATCTTCAATTTTTGTATGCCAAGCAGGCGGCTTATCTGTATTTGTGTGTATCTATTATCTTGTTATGCAAATGTTTTTTCATATTCAGTTATGTCAATATATTATAATATAAATACTAGGTAATAGAAATGAGTTTAAGTTATGAAAATGAATAAGTTATTGAAACTAAAACTCAAAATTAATCAAAATAGTTGGAAGGGGATCGTGCAAATCTTTGTTTTATAAAATCAACCTCAGCACAGCCCGATGGTAACGACACATACATGCATGAACACACATACAACACACACACATACAGCACAAGCCAATGACACGGACACACACAAACACACACACATATATACACACACACACACAACACACACACATACAGCACAAGCCAATGACACGGACACACACAAACACACACACATATATACACACACACACAGGCACACATATACACACAGAGTACAGGCTACTCACGCTGACACACATACACACACCAAAAACAGAAAAGTAAAATAAAATAAAGACCAGAAACAGCCAGGTTATTTCAGTCACAGGCAGCACTGGCAGCCTTCCGTGGCTGAGTCAGACGACCTTTTGTGACAACACACACATGCAGGCTGCATTATCTCTGAAGTGAAGCACTCTCGGCTCTCCCCCAGATTTATGGTAAGCATGCTATGCACACAGGAGACGGGGAGAAGGTGTCATGCGGGGTTGGGAGGCCGACAAAAGTCCTCCAGAGACAGAGCCAACAGAACCCGCCTGGGAGACTAGACAGCCCCCACTGCTCCTCATCACACACAGGCATTGCAACGCCCAGGAGTCGCTCCGGGCTGGTTTTACTCATCAACCTGTGAAGATCATCAGGGAAGACTTCGCCCACTCAGAGAAAGTCCAGAAATAACAGTCTGGGCTAAAAAGAGAAACCTCTCTCTGGCTTGTGTGCCAACATATGTACCCACTTCTACTGTTTCTCTCAAATAATCACCCAGTTTCTTCACAGGGGCAGGCAAACACAACCAGAGCTGATGGGGCTACAGCTTCATAGGGAAAGACTCATCAGAAAGGTACATGTGATGATAGTCACACATCACTGTTTACCCCTTTGTTTTTATATATCATAAGTTTATAAAGAATGCAACAGAAAGCAAAAACATATCCCCAAATGCAACACTGTTATTTATACATGGTAGAAATAATTAATATCAAAGGCGATTTGATTTTCCCTTCTTTTTCATACATATGTTGGTTTATTTCTTGGTATAAAACATTTATCGTAAATGAACTGTTATATAATTGAACAACATGTGTTGTGCACAATTTAAAGAATCCAAACACTTGGTAGATGGAGGCAGGAAGGTCATGTGTTCAAAGATGGCTTGTTCTGGCAGCCTGCTAAATGGGAAAAGATCTTCACCAAACCCACATCAGACAATGGACTGATCTCCAAAATATACAAAGAACTCGAGTAATTGGTGATCAAAAGAACAAATAATCCAATAAAAAAAATGGGGTACAGACCTAAACAGAGACCTCTCAACAGAGGAATCTAAAATGGCTGAAAGACACTTAAGGAAATACTCAACATCCTTAGCCATCAGAGAAATGCAAATCAAAACAACTCTGAGATTCCATCTTACACCTGTAGAAATAGCCAAAATCAAAACCACTGATGACAACTTATGCTGGAGAGGTTGTAGGGTAAAGGGAGCACTCCTGCCTTGCTGGTGGGAATGCCAGCTTGTACAGCCCCTTTGAATATCAGTATGGCAATTTCTCAGAAAATTTGGAAACAACCTTCCTCAATAAATCTCAAGGTCCAAATCAGGAGCAGGAGAGAGAGCACGAGCAAGGAACTCAGGACCGCAAGGGGTGCACCCACACACTGAGACAATGGGGATGTTCTATTGGGAACTCACCAAGGCCAGCTGGCCTGGGTCTGAAAAAGCATGGGATAAAACCGGACTCTCTGAACATAGCGGACAATGAGGACTACTGAGAACTCAAGAACAATGGCAATGGGTTTTTGATCCTACTGCACGTACTGGCTTTGTGGGAGCCTAGGCAGTTTGGATGCTCAACTTACTAGACCTGGATGGAGGTGGGGGTTCCTTGGACTTCCCACAGGGCAGGAAACCCTGATTGCTCTTCGGGCTGAGGGGGGGGGGACTTAATTGGGGGAAGGGAAGGGAAATGGGAGGCGGTGGGGGGGGAGAGACAGAAATCTTTAATAAATAAATAAATTTAAAAAAAAAGACCCAGGAATACCACTTTTGGGTATATATTCAAAGAATGCTCAATCGTGCCACAAGGACATGTGCTCAACTATGTTCATAGCAGCATTGTTTGTCATAGCCAGAACCTGGAAACAACCTGTTCAATACTGAACTGCTATAGTAGTTCAATAACTTTCTCCTTAAAGCCAAAGGGACCCTCTCTTGCTATCTACATTGTCTCTTGGACACCAAAAAGTTCATTTTTGCTCCTATAAGAAATACATGTTGCTGAAAAGAACCAGATTATACTAGGATAATAATTAAAAGAGAATTCTACCCAAGATAATGCCAGTTTCTTGTAGAAGCGAGGGAAACCCAACATTAAGCTATTTGCTGTAGGTCTTTGTGCTGGCTGGTTTCTTTCAACTTGACACAAACCTAGACATAAACCCATATCTAGGAAAAAAGAGTCGTTTTAAAAAAGTATTATTATTATTTCAAGCATATAGGTGGTTATGCCTATATGTGTGTGTACCATATACGTTCTTAGTACCTGGAAGCTAGAAGAAGATGTTAGATAACCTAGAAGTAGAGTTACAGACCATTGTGTGCCATCATGTGGCTCCTGAGAATCGAACCCTAGTTCTCTGGAAGAGCAGTCAATGTTCTTAACTCCAGGACTTAAAGAGGGAATCTTGGGCAAAGCTGTGGAGTATTTAACATCATTAATGATTGATTGAGGGCCCATCTTGGACAAATGATCCTGAGATGTATAAAAAAGCAAGATGAAAAAACCATGGGGAGAGCAAGCCAGTAAACATGGCTTGTGCTTCAGTTCCCACCTCTAAGTTTCTGCCTCAAGTTCCTGTCCTGGCTTCCCTGGGTGATAGGCTACAAGCTATGAGATGAAATAAACCCTCTGTAATCCTCAAGTTGCCTTTGGTCATGGTGTTTTGTCACGGTACGAAAAAATCTAACTTCACTGATACTACAGATGTGTGTCAGTCTTGTCATTAAAATTATTCAATAAATAAGAAATAAGATACACACACAGGGCTGCATGATCCATTTTTTGAATGCACACAATATAGCAAAACCACCGAAAAATAAAACTGGATGGAAAATGACACATCCCCCGTCACTTGGGGAAACACTGTGCTTCACTTTCTCTGAGAAAGTGTTCCTGGAGTGTCACTGTGAAGTAACACCTTAGCCAACTGTGGATTCCAAATGTCACATAAGAGATGTCACTCAACATGACCATCAGGTGAAAAGTTAGGAACATATATTCACATTTCCATGTCCCAAATTAGGTTCCCACAAAGTCCTCCCTAAGGAAGACTATGCCAAACTCCTATTAAGAGTTGGTTCAAGATGAATCTCAAAGCCACGCTGAGAATCATTTTGAAGTCTCCTTTGAAATTCACATATGTATACCCCGAATGACAGGCAGGTAGTACAAGCAACTATTTCTATCCCAAATCATTAAGTCTACAAGTCTCTGCAATGGTCCAAGCCTCTTTCAAATGCTACGATGCCTAATGATGTCAGTCAATGCCTAGATTCAACTGCTCTGAGTGAACCTATTACAGTAGCTATTTGTACAGCACTCCGTGTGAAAGAATTCCGATCATCAAACTCAGTAAGCCAATCAATCCAAGTGGTGTGACTTCCTACTTTACCGGAATGCCATGCACAGTCGTGCACCACATATGACTGACTACATGTGGAACATGGAGGTCCCATAAGATCATATAACTAAGTGATATTGTACCTACCTTGTTATAAATATTTCCATGATATTTGTAATGCACCAAAAATTATTTCTCAATGTATTTCTCAGACAATTTCTTGTCACTCAGCAGTATGACATGACAGTCTATCAATGCATCTTAGATTTTCATCTTATTTTGTTCAAAGACCAAATGACTTTTATAAGCCAAGTGTATTTCCAAAGACAACACATCATTCCAGTGAGCACAGCTGACCAGAAAGCTGCCAACATATCTAAATTATATAAAGAGAATCTCTCCCTATCTAAGACAAAACAAAATAACTCTCCTTGTTTGTCCCCCTGAAAACTAACGCCAAAAATAAAACAAGATGAAATGAAAAATTCACAGCATGAACTCACAAGCCTCTTTTCTTACCTCTACCACTGTGGTTCCGGCAGCTTTGCACATGGGCAAATTGAAGTTCCTTGCGCTCTTCCTATATCAGACAAGGAGGAGAGAGGAGGGAGAAAGATCAAAGACAGACTCCTCTCTTTCAACTTGAAAATGCAGACTAAAAGAGTTGATGCCAAGAATCTGTACACCTGAGAGCGCGTGACTTACAACCACCTTGAAACTTAAAAGCTCTCGTGGCCATTTCATCCCATTTATATGGCTTTGAGAGTAGGTGGAAGGAAAGACCATTTTTCATGTTCAATCAATAGCTTTTACATAGAAAAATAAAATGGGTATTCGCAGATATCCGAAATTAAAATCTCCTAATCTTTTACCCGAGATTAAACTTGGCCACCATAGTTAAATATTCCACTGAGAAACTTTTTAAAAAGTAGAAAGAGTTAGGGATGCAGCGTGGGGATGAAGCACTTCCTCGGTGTGCACCAGGCCCTGGGGCTCCACTCCAGTACCGCAAAGGCAAAGAGAAAGGGATGACAGACCAAATGCTTCACAGGAGAGGGTACAGTCTTTTCCTACTAAATAAGGAGAAGTTTCCACTAGCTGACAGTATATGAACACTCACAGGCACTGTGAGTCCACCTAACAATCACTCGGGAGAACAATGGTGTGATGTATAGACCAGCTATCCTAGTGACTACAAGTGATATCTGTATTCTGAGAGTCTACACTGCTTGACCACTGGGCTGAGAGCTTTCATTGGGCCGCCATTCAGTAACCATTAGCACCTACACACGGTCGGAGCTTAGAGGCCCAAGTAAAGTCTTCAGAAACCACAGGCAGGCATCAGAGCACCGGAAGAAATTCTACAAATACTTGAAGTAACTGATAATTGCTATAATACTTCATTTGTTTTATTTACAGGGCATCAGAGCTTTACAAACATCACACCGATGGTCAGAGAACGCAGGCAGCATGTTAGTTTGCCTAGGATTTCCAAATTTAGTTGCATGTTAAAAGCCTACAACTCAGGAAATCAGAACGTTAATATCACGTTAATTCCTTCAGAAATAAATTTTTAAAAACGCAAGTGCTGCGGAGGATTTGACTGTGATTGAGGCCAAACCACATTTGGCCTCTTTATAAAAGAAACCACTTTTTAAAAGAATCCTTCATTAAAGCTGCAAATAACAAAATGATGAGGAAGAAAATGATTTCTATAACCGAACAGACCATGTCGCTCACCTCTCATATATAGCCAAAGTGGCCCAACTTCCAAAACACAACTATCTAACCTACAAATCCAAGGCATTAAATACTTATCATGACTTAGAGCTTAATATGCAGAGGTTCATCGAAAGACAGGAAAAGCACAGAGGCCTGTGGCTACCCAGATAATGCAAACAAGAAGAGTTCAGCATTTGTGAAGATAATTGGCTATTCAGATGGAATGCTTAGAAGGCTTTCTCGGGAGACATTGGCCCCACAGGAAAGGAACTCACCTAAACTATTATTAGCCGTTTCCCCCAAAATATCAGAGCAATTTTGACATTTTCAAGACACTGTATAAAAATAGCAATATTAAAACAAAAAATATATGTTGGCTGCTGTCATGTTTGCCAAGAAAATAACTACTCTTGGCAATGAAAATATAGATAGAAAAAACAATTATAGGTACCTGTGTACAAGAGGACATAAATCCATTTCTTTTTTTAATTTATTCGATTTTTTAAAAATACCAATCCAGGTTCCCACCCCACCCCCATTCTCTCCACACCCCCATCCACTAATCCATTTCATTTTAATGGGGTCTCATAGATCCCAAGCTAGCCTCAAACTCCCTATGGAGTGAGAATGACTTTGAACTTGTGTTGTGCCTTCCTCCGCCCTCCACGTGCTGGGAATGTAATGCCAGAGGCTTGAGGCAAGCACTCTCTCAACTCAGTTCCATCCCGGCCCTGGATCTAATTACTTAGCGAGCCATAGGCCAACAGGAACAGACAAGTACAAACACAGCACTTCAGCAGGGCCACTGGGACGACATGCATTTCCAGACCCAAGTGCACACACGGGTGCGCATGAATGACTCTAAGCCATTGAAAAAACGGTCAGAAAGCAGCTCGCTGCGGCATTCATTTGTGGCATCCTAACTTAGAAAGCACGGAGCTCTTGACACCCATTCCATTAGCTTTGTTTAAATGCTGAGGATGCACCACAGGGCACTAGGCAGGCACTCCACTTGAGGTATAACTACCTTTTTACCCAAGACAGGAGGTGAGGTGTTTTGTTTTGTTTTTTAGCTACCACAGTACCTGAAAATCACGTTTCCTGCCCGGTCCGCTTTCCAGGCCTTCACCAAAGCAAAGTCTCCCGTGATTGCTTCCTCCAGAATGAAGTGCTGCCCATTAAACTCCCTCACCTGCGGGAAACAGGACTCGTGGTCAGACATTTGGGTGGGACTCACACAACCAGGCTCCGTGCTGTGCTCTGAAGAGGCACACACTAGGAGCCTAGCGAGGGAGGCTTTCTCAGGGGGAGGGACCTCAAGAGACTACTTCTGTAGCATAAGGCTTTCTCAGAACAGCCCAGGGAGGCTTCAGGAAGAGAACGCTGTGCACAGGTCCCACAACAAGTGCAAGTTTAGTATGTCTGAGGAACTAAAACCCCTACAAGTCCAAGCGGTAAAGTGTGTCAATATCCATTTGACTGTGTGTCTTGGTGACATTGGGGACATAGAATACAGCCCCTCTTTCCTTCTATCCCTCTCCCCAAATAAAAATGTGTACATTACACGAAATGGCTTCTCTATTGCTTCTCATTAATCTGTGATCTAGAATTACTGTTGAGATAGTCAATGGAAACTAATGTGAAAAGAACTGGCATTTTCGCATTTGCATGGGCATGATGCGGGCTTCCTTCTATTAACATCTTTGTAGATTTTCTTTTTTTTTTTTTATTTTTTTTTATTTTTTTGGTTTTTCGAGACAGGGTTTCTCTGTGGTTTTGGAGCCTGTCCTGGATCTAGCTCTTTGTAGATTTTCTTCACACAAAATTTCTGTATGGTTTTTGCCTTTACCCGTAGGAACTTCTTGCTTCCTTTGCTTTTATAAATGTTGGTTTTAACTTATTGCACATCTTCAGTCATTACTGATACAACACAATGCTTTTGAATTTGTTTAAACCGTTTACGGTCTTTTGGGAGACAGCACAAAACAAAACTCTCCTTTGCCAGTATGCACTTCCTTTCTTTTCCCCTTGGAGAATTGCCTCTGGGAATTAAACAGAATTGAAACAATCCCGTTGAGGGCTGGATTCCTCCCACACAACGGCAGCCCTTTGAAAGCCGAATTCTAACTGCATTCCCACTCCGCCCTCTAGTGGACAATGGACTGGATGCGTTTCCGACACAAAGGTGGGGTTCAGTTACTTTCTACTTTGCTTTGTCGGGGAGGAGATGCTGAGACTTGACCCTGAGGTCTCATATACATTACCATGTGCTCTGTCATTGAGCAACGTTCCAACCTTACTTTTACAGAGTCTCAAACAGATCGTTTCTTAAAGGAAAGCTTCTCCAAAGATAGCCCTGTTTCTTACTAGAAGACATGAGCTAGGACCATGAAATTATATAAGATTAGTTGCGCAATAACATAGAAAGTTATTTTAAAGGCTTGAGTCTCTCAAAACTCATCACCGTGAACATCAATGACGAGGCAAGTAGTGGCACAGTCCTGTAATCCCAGCACTAGAGGCAGAGGCAAGAGGACTGCGGGAAGATCAAGAGAAGCCTGGCCTACAGATAGCATCAAAAAATCCCCAACAAAGCTTTCCCAAAAGAAAGCAAACAGAAAACCCACCAAGGATGATGGCTGAGATGTAGAAAATGCAAGTATTTTCTAGTGTCACCTGTCTTAAAACCTCAAAGAGGGAAGCAACAAGCGTTACCAAGATTACTCCTGTGCTCACTGCAAATGGTGACGGTGGCCTCTGCTTCGTCTTTAGGATCTTCTGGAATTCATTCCCATTAGATTTCGCTAGTGCTCTCCATTTCTGCACACTATTGTTTAACTCTAGCCCTTAGCCTTCCTTTGGCCCAACTGCTCCCTCTTTTATCTTTCAAATCACCAGGTTCCCCCAGGGTTCCTCTGGGCCTCCCTTCTCACTTTCCACTGTGGTGCTTCTTCTGCCTGTCTATTAACTGTTAAAGAGGACCCTCTGCTTGCAAAGTGGCCCAGGACTGTGTGTCTAGTCCTAAGGGTTTGGATGCCCACATATCATGCCTACTGTCCTGAATTTCCTACCAGAGTCACCAAGCACTTCCTCTTGAGACTCCTGAACTTCTTAAGGACATCTCTTCCCCAACAGACACAGCTCTCTGCTTGCCCCGTGCCTTCCCCATCTCAATAAGAGCAATCTTGGTTCCTGTCCTCTATGTTATATGCTGTGGCTCCATCACCAACATCTGGCCTGATTCTAACCAGTTTGCACAAACTCCACTTTACCACCTCATCTCAGCCAATGCCTGTTCCCACCAGGATCAATGCATGGCCACCCACTCTCTAACGTGGGCCCCTACAAAACCATAAAACTTACCGACCACGGTCAGACTTGTAAGATATAACTTAAAACATATCACACTCATACTCAAATTCACTATTAACTTCTTATAATACTGAGGGAACTCTAGGCTATGTGAACAGACAATAGACAAACCAGAGCCAGAGGATAGAGACTGGGAAGGCAGGGATGGGGGGAGAGACAGAGAGATCAGAGACAGACTGAATTTTACAGAAAATTACAAAGGTACTAGATTCATGCACTGTTGAGGACCAAACAACGTGAGCCTGTTTCCCCTTGTCTGAAGGTCAGAAAGTTGGAACTTCTATTCCTAAAAGAAGGTCTGTTTCCACCTCAAGGGTTCCACCTAGATTTAGGTCAGAGTTCTGCTCTCGCAAGGTTATTGTCAACAGATGTGGCTAATACCCAGGCCTTGTATTTCAGGAATGGAGAAGTAGATAGGTTTCTACCACAAACAAAAGTCTAAGGATCCAACCAAGGCTTCAGTTCCCTTAAGGAGTTAACATTGGATTCCAACGAGGGAGTGGTTTGCCTACAGAATGTTTTGGTCTAGGGCGTGTGTATGACTTGTTTTGTTCTAGCAACAGAATGTTTAACTACGTGCGTAGCCCGTGGCCTTCAAATGGTATGTTCATTTCTTTGTATCACGTTAACGCCGTTGTTTTTTTTTTTGTTTTTGTTTTTGTTTTTGTTTTTTTTTATCTTACTCCTACCTTTTGGGGTCGGGGTATTTTAAGCAAATGGAAATCTTTAATTTCCATCGCAGTATTGACTGGAACTCCCCCCCAATAGTATCCTATATTTTCTGTTTTATTATTTTCACTCACGTCTTCGTACTCTTTACTAACTTTTCTAATCCATATGCCTCTACCCTGGTAAGTGGTATTTTTGTCCTTTTGTTAAAACCTTTCAGAAAATCAGTTAACTAACCCTAATTACAGTAGAATGTATAGTGATTATGGCTTCTTTGATTCTAATGTATTCTAATTTCCCTCTGTGATTTTTAAGTATGAACAGATACCCAGATTTAGCTACAAGTCTCACCTTTTTGAAAATAAATGACTGTTTATCTCACCAAGGGAACCATCAAAGGAGTCCACACAGAATCTCACGAGGAAAGTGCTCTCTTAGAGTCACGTGGGTGAGGAGTATCTTACCTCTCGTGGCTTGCTGGCAATGGCAACACTGCCATCTTTGTTGTATTTTATGGGTGATCCTCCTTCTTGTACCAGGGTCCCATATCCTGTGCTGGTGTAGAAGGCAGGGACTCCGGCTCCGCCGGCACGGATCCTCTCTGCAAGTGTACCCTACAAATAAGCAACCAATATCTGTGAAAAGTCCACAAAGTGCAGTTGGGACTCGGAATACAGACACTGTTAGATGTAATTCCCATCTTTGAGAGGCTCACCACCTCCAAAGTGTGTATCAATGTATGTGCTTGGAAATCTCCAAGCTGAAGCATCAATTAAAGACAATAATCATTCAATTCTTGACCCCCATTCAAATATAACTGTTCCTTTGTCATGCTGCCAGTTTCTAGACTCCACCCCCACTGGTCTCTTGACATCGTATTCTACAAACGTCTACTTTAATGTTTTGAAATCAAATTTAGAACTTAATTACATAAATGTAGCTATTCGTATATTTTTAAATGTTAAATTTTGTTTTACCATGTAATATGTGTAAGTGTAAACTAAATAATTTTATCATTAAGAGCAATAGGTATGCCAGACAGGGTGAAAAATATTTGTAATTTTAACATCTGGGAGGCTAAGGCAAGAAGAAGGCCATGAGTTTTGAGCTCAACGTGAGTTATATACCAAGTACTATGCCAACACAACAGGACCCTGTCTCAAAAAAAAGGAAATTTTTTTTTTTTGGCTTTTGGAGATAGGATTTCTCTGTAGCTTTAGAGCCTGTCCTGGGACTAGCTCTTGTAGATCAGGCTGGCCTGGAACTCACAGAGATCCGCTGGTCTCTGCCTCCTGAGTGCTGGGATTAAAGGCGTTCGCCACCACCGCCCGGCCCATATTTACTTTAAATTTCATAAATTTACTTTCATAATTTTTTTTTTACTTAAGAAGCTATCTAAGCAATAAAAATTCAAAGCCAAGCAAAACCCATAAATGTAGGCCCTGCTCTAGTCAGATCATTGTTGTTATAAGAAAAGACACCCGGGAGCTCACTTTGCTCATCCCAGTGCCCCAGAGGACAAAGCAAGACATCAGCCACCAGAAGGCAGGAAAAGACTCCCTAGGAAACTGGACTGGCTGTCTCCTGATCTTGGACTTTCCAGCTGTTTTAACTATGAGAAATGAGTTTCTGTGGTGTGAGCTACTCGATCTATGGAGGGATTTTGAGCTTGTTGATTTTTATAGAAACCCAAGGAAACTAGAAATGTATATATTTATTCATTCACAAAACTTGAAATGAAAGCTGAGTCATCTCAAACCCAGCGCAGCCCTTGAACAGGCAGAGATGCCTGTGCTGTGCTGTGGGTAACTGGGTGGGACCGAGACGCTGTGGAGCCGCCGTCACAGAGAACAGTCCCTGATGCATGCCTTCTCTAGACTAGCACGTACCCGATCATTTTCTTTTCTAAAATTTGGCCGCATTCCATCCTTATCAACTTGGCAAAGTTCTGAAGCAGCATTACCTTGGGGCAGAATGGGGCACTCAGTTGCAGAGCGAAGGTAGAGTGTGTCAAAGTGGAGCACCGGCACCCTGGGCATGTAGAGCCTTGCTTTGCCCAAAGGGCTTCGAGAGCTGCCTTGGATGAATTAGGAGAAGTGGAAACCAGGTACAGACTTGCTGCACAAACTGTACAAATGGCTGTACATTTATCAGTCCCCTAAATCCTCAGGCTCTGAACCCGAGCACTTCCTGATGAAAGAGTTTCACCTTCCAACAGACTTTACTCTCCTGACTTGAGTCAGCAAGATTTGACCGCTCAGAAATCTCCAACACTGAGATTCATTAAAACTGGCTTTTAAGACAATCCCATTTTTGTAAGTCCTTTTGTTTGCTTCTGACACAACGTACACTGTAGTATCATATTAAAAATTTTACACACAGAGAAACCCTGTCTCAAAAAATAAATAAATAAATAAATAAAAATTTTAGCCAGCAGCATGGATATTTTCTATTTAGCGATACCTAATCTTCCATAGTCACAAGAAGCAGTCATCTAGAATCAACAGGAGCGACCCAAAGACAAGGTCGCTTGGTTTGATGAAATAGCATCTCTCTGTCTGGAACAACAACAAAGCTTTAAGAAGGAAGAAAGGAACTTTTCTATAAACTGACACTAACTGGCACTGACTGGCCCTATGAAACAAAAGCAGATGCATTTCCTCACCTGAGGGGTCAGCTCCACTTCTAATTCTCCCGATAAGTACTGTCGCTCAAATTCTGCATTTTCTCCCACGTATGACGAGATCATGCGTTTTATCTGCTTGGATCGAAGTAAAAGGCCCAGGCCAAAGTTGTCAACCCTAAACAGAAAGGGAGTTGGTAATCATGAGCCCACCTACAGAATACTGTTAGCACACTTTTTGTTTGTTTTTGTTTTGTTTTTCAAAGATGTGAAACTTCAATAATTTGGAGGGAAAACAATCTCTTCTAAAGAATTCTGTTCACATTTTCCTTCTAGCCCTCACCACTCCAAGAACTCAGAAGGTGGCTTGTCTTTTCTTGTTTTACAGGCGGAGATAGGAAAGCTTAAAAGGCTGGCATGAATCCCAGCACTCGGAAGGCAGAGGCTGGGGGAGCTCTGGGCTTTGAGGCCAGCCTGGTCTATGTAGTGAGGTTCAGGTCAGCCAGGGCTACACAGGGAGATCTATCTCAAATCCCCCAAGCTCTCAGAGACTAAGGGACATAGCTAATGAAGCTCCAGCCCCTGTTCAGCCTACAGTTCCAGTCCACACATTTTTGTTCTCTTTACTACTGCAAGGTGATCTTGTGATAGATGCTAAGCGTGATGGCCTGGCTCCTGCCCTATGCTTTGGAGCATTCCCAAACACTCCAGTACAGAGGCTCTCTATGTTCAAACAGAAGGGTCCATTCCTGTATTAAGACAAAGATGAGCACATTCATTGAACTAGGAACCCAAGTTATACATAATACTAAGAGCATTTTTTCCTGTATAACAGACATTTTCCTTAACAATATTTGTACACTTGAATGTCCTTAATCCCCTCAAACGAAAGGACTGCAGGCAGCAAATTGAATCCTTCATTAGTTACAATACATACATATATATATTGGTTTAATAATTTAAAATGAGGACTCAGTTTATTCTTAGAAATGATGCACGCACTATTGACCTTTTCTAGATTAAAAACCTCCAGGTGCATGCATTTCTTCTTTGTTTTTATCATATTTTCATAGAAAAATGCACCTGCATTTTTAAGCACAATTCATAGGTTAACTACTGAATGAAAGCTTGTCCCTTTTCCATCGGCTTATCTCTCCCTGCTCAAAGATTTTGGAAGCTCTTTACCCAACTAGAGAGAAACAATGAACTTTGTTTGTAGGTTGGTTTATCTGTCTGGAACAGTCTCACTATGTAATCTAAGTTGGCTTGGAACTCAACATCCTCCTGCCTCAGCTTTCCAAGTGATAGGATACAGGCTTGGCTTTATAAAACTATTATTGTTGTTATGTTGTTGCTGTTTTTGAGACAGGGTTTCTCTGTGTAGCCCTGGCTGACCTAGAACTTGTTCTGTAGACCAGGCTGGGCTTGAACTCACAGAGATCCACCTGCCTCTGCCTCCCAAGTACTGGGATTAAAGACGTGTGCCACCACCACCACCTGGTTTATAAAACTACTTTTAAGGACAAAATATTTTTAGTAGTAAAGATCATAACGAGAGAACACAATAAACACAAAGGAATGATCATATTAAAAGAAAAAACCAAGTCAGTAGGCAAGGACAAAAAACACCAGAATTTTTTTTGTGTGCTAAGATGAATGTATACTAATCGCTTTAAGGAGGGAAAAAAAAAATAACAAAGCCATTACCATACTCTATTAACATTGAAAAAAATCCAGCTGCTGAGTCAGCAATTCACTCTTGGGTCTTCACCAAACAAGAACTTATATTTAATGCTCACTAAAAGACATATATAATATACTCATCAATAGCATTGCCCATTATGACAAAAAATGAAAGCCTCTCAAATGCCCATTCACAGAATAGATAAGTTATAGTTTATCCAGACAATAAAATACAGCAATGAGACTGCATGCTGGACAACCACTAGCCACCATGGACAAATCTCAGACTGAATGTTGAATGAAAGAAGCTATACACAGGAGTGTACATGTTGGATTACTCCTTTCACAAGCACTTTAAGACTTTGACGGGACTGATTAATGAGATCCAAAGTGCCCATAATGTAGATCAGGGCCGGGAGAAAAGAGTAGTAACTAGAGGCATTGTGAAGGGATCTTTCAGGAGACCTGACCCTGTCCCATGTCTTTGCGGGGGTGTTGGCTTCATGGCTGTGCAGCTTGTAAAATCCTATCTATATATCTGTGTATGGTTAGTGTCCTACACCACTCTAATATTAGGTATCTATAGTTTTTTAAAAGATAAAACTTCAATAAAAAGGCCCTGAAATCCTCTTATATACATGAGCTTTTGTTTCCTCCCTGCCAATCACTTGCATGTTCTGATGGCTCCTCCCACACACATCTTATGTTGTCTGCAGAATTCATTCATCCAACAATCCCATACCGCCAATGCTTACTCTACCCCGGAAACAGAATATCACCTTCTGGGGTTACAGCCTTGAGAAGGCCTGGCCCTGGGCCCTGTGTAGTTCTAAGAGGTTAGAGGAAATAAGCGTGAGTCTGTAACTAGCACAGCAAGATGTGCTAAGTGGTGTCTGTGTAATATGTGATGAGAACACAGAAGATTAAGGATCCGCCTGTTGACAGAGGAAGAGGGAAGAGAGAGTCTAGGTGAAGGGAAAAGGTCATACAGAAGGCGAAAAGTAGATGAAAGCAAAAGGACAACAGAGCTGGAAAATACACTAAGATGGAGATCTTGAGGCATCCTCCTCAGAGCTCAGAGCAAATGGGCTGTGCACAGGAGGCAGAAGTGGGAGGGGGACCTGATCGCGATCTGCCTTGAAGGACTTCACCCTGAAGGACAGGAGATGCTTCAGCCGACAGATAACAGGCTAGACAATGAACTCAAGAAGGGCTTGACATAGTCCAAACAATGGCGAGCATCTGAACTAAGGTGGAGACCACAGGAATATAGAAGAGAGGGTAAATCTAGAGCACTGGGGAGGTGGTGCATCCCGAAGACGTGTTACCCTGACATTGATGGAGGAAGGTCATTGGTTAAATAAAAAGAAACTGCTTGGCTCTCATTGATTAGAAGATAGGTGGGAGGAGTAAACAGAACAGAACGCTGGGAGGAAGAGGAAGTGAGCTCAGACTCCACAGCTCTCCTTTCAGGAGCAGACGCCTGAGAGACGCCATGCCCGGCTCCCAGGCAGACATACGCCATGAAGCTCCCACCCAGGATGGACTATGCTGAACCTTTCCCGGTAAGACCGGTGCTCACAGATTATTAGAGATGGGTTGATCAGGATGTGAGAATTAGCCTGTAAGGGCTAGAGCTAAAGGGCCAAGCAGTGTTTAAATGAATACAGTTTGTGTGTTGTTATTTCGGGGCATAAGCTAGCCAGGCGGCTGGGGTGCCAGGGACGCAGCCCCGCTGCTCATATTACTACATGACATAGACACAAACCCTGCAGAATTTTAGCTTTCACAGTGGAACCTAACCGAAGAGTGAGCTGGGGGAAAATGGATCTAAGAGCCACTAGAGACATCCCACTTGTTTTGACAAGCAAAGGTGTTAAGTATGGTAGCCTGTGTGACAAACCACTAGCGTTTCTTGCAACAACCACCTGCCTCCACTCTCTCTTACCAACCTTACCAGTGCCCATTTCAGATTACATGGTTCCTTCCTAATTCAAAGCCTCTTACCTCCCGTTCCCATGGCATCCTGCACACCGTATCCCTCAAGGTATATAGATAACAAAAAACTATCATTCAATAATCTTTGCTTCTTACCCACCAGAGGCATACAAGTATCTATATCATTTATATTTAGGATCTGTGGTGGTTTGAAGGAAAATGGACTGGCACTATTAGGAGGTTTTGTTGAAGAAGGTGTAGCCTTGTTAAAGGAAGTGTGTCACTATGGGGCAGGCTTTGAAGTCTCCTTTGCTCAAGATTCCCTCAGTGTGGCACTCAGTCTACTTCCTGTTGCCTGCACTATCAGCTCCAGCACCATGTCTGCCAGCACCTCCACTACCCACCGTGATGGTAATGGCCTGATCCTCTGAAACTGTAAGCTGCCACCTCAATTAAATGTGCTGCTTTATAAGAGTTATGTTGCTGATCATGTCTCTACAGAGCAACAGAAACCCTAACTAAGACAGTATCTTTCTTCCAAAAGAAAATTAAAGGCTAGTAAACATACTTTTCCCACGTGGAGCAGTTTCCCTTTAATGGGCTCCAGTAAAGTCTGTCAGTGAGTTCACACACAAGGTCAACTTTACCTAGCTTCAGACACAGAGGGAAGTCAGCAAGTCTGAGGCTTCTCATCTATCTAGTCTTCAGCTAAGTATGGAACACAGTAAGTGAATAACTGCCCAGATGGTATCCTACTTTGAAAACTACTTTTAAGTTAAAAGAGAAATAGCCTTGGTGTGACTGAAAAAGCAGGGGATAAAACCGGACTCTCTGAATATGGCGGACAATGAGGGCTGCTGAGAAGCCAAGGACAATGGCACTGGGTTTTGATCCTACTTCATGTTCTGGCTTTGTGGGAGCCTAGCCAGTTTGGATGTTCACCTTCCTAGACCAGGATGGAGGGGGGAGGACTTTGAACTTTCCACAGGGCAGGGAACCCTGACTGCTCTTCAGACTTGAGAGGGACGGGGAGAGGAGTGGGGGGAGGAGGGGAGGAGTGGGAGGCTGGGAGGAGGCGGAAATTTTTTTTTTCTCAATAAAAAAAAAAGAGAAATAGCCTTACGAGTTAATAATACACTTGTCCACTAGAGGTCTCCCGATTACCAAAGATGCGGGCTTTCTAGCGAGAAATGCTTTCCATCTTCTCTCCCTCCTGTTTTCTTTCTCCTTCCTCCTCCTCCTTCTCTTTTTCCTCACTTCTCCTCACTGCCCCTAAGGCCCAGGCCCCACTTCAGGTTAGCAATTCTCCTCCAAGCTTAGCTTCTCTTTCAGCCTGCCCTGGCCTGCCTGAGAGCAGCTCCCTCCTTAGAGATGGGCAGGACAAACCTAGGGAATGCAAAACTCTGTTCCATACTTACCCTCTCCCTATGAAGCCTATCAAGACATCCTGACCCCACAACCTGTTTAAGAGCCAAGCCATTCCTCACTCCCCCCTCTGTCCTGCACCATCATTACCTGGGCACAGGAGGGCCCTTGTCTGCTTCTGTCCCTACGGTG